AGCAAAATTAGGTTTGGATGTTATTTTCACCTAGGTCACTAGATGGCAGCAAAATATTTAAAAATTTCATGTGAGTCACTAGATGGCAGCAAAATAATTACAAAAATGACTATGACATTAAAAATCATGCTGTGCTTTATTCACATTAATTACAGAGCAATAATTTAAACATTATTTTTGAACTGACAGTCCATTTCTGTTTTTAAAACGTTTATTATTAGCCATTAATGTCTATGCAAATGAAAAGGCACTGAATGATCGTTACGTATTTTTGAGAGTCTTAATAACCAAAAATAAGGCCTGAGGGATAAAAATAGTAGTTATTGAACTGAAACTTAAATAATGGGAAATTAACATTTTAAAGCCCTCATCAGTTTTCAGGAGGACTAGATTCAAGTCACACAACACTTGCTGGATGTGTGGCGTTAGGCAAGTTAATTTCTCTATGCCTCAGTTTCCTCATCTAGTACCTGCTTCCAGGGTGATTTTAAGAATTACTTGTAAACTACTTAGAATAGTCCTTCTGACATAACTCGCAATAGGAGTTAACTATGGTCTTTTACTAACTAATTTTACATCAAGCCAGAAAAATTCAGATGCCTTATTCAATATCTAAAATCATGTTTCTTTCTTTATGTATCAGTTATTAACATCCTGAATCAACAGGTAATAGTAAAAGAGTTTCTATACCAGGTTCACCTCTGCTTGTTATTGGTGAAAATGGTACTTAGAAACAACAGTAACTTTTGTCCCATATACATAGCAGGCAAAACAAGATGTGGTCACATTGGAAGCCAGCACACCACTAGAAGCGACAATTCAGTGGAGGACCAAATAACTTCCTGAGGAAGCTTCTACTCCAGGAACTCTACACCTCTCCTGAGAAGCACACAATGAGCAAAACATCCAGAAAATAAACCAAAGAGGAGAGTTGGAAGAACCATAGGGCTCATTTTGTTCAATATTGATTTTCAAATGTTGGTGAAAGAGAATCCCTTGGAGTGCGGCATGAAGTGGAAAAATCTATCTTAAAAAATTTTTCTTACATTTATTTTATTGCATTTTAGGTTTTGGGGTACATGTGAAGAACATGCAAGATTGTTGCATAGGTACACACATGGCAGTGTGATTTGCTGCCTCCATCCCCATCACCTATATCTGGCATTTCTCCCCATGCTATCTCTCCCCAACTCCCCACCCCCCACTGTCCCTCCCCTATTTCCTCCCAACAGACCCCTTAATAGTAAATACAGAAAGTCTCCTGCCATGAAATTAACTTTGGACTTGTCTGGGCATGGTATAAAGTCAGAATCCTAAATGAGATGCACCAGTCACACCTGAGAGAAGAGCTTGTACTTTGGGAGTGATTCAACTCCAAAAAAAGGAGATAAAACAGTCTAGGCATAAAATCCAGCAGCAAGGAATTAACTAGAGAGTTAAAGAACTACTTCAGCTGTGAAGGTGTTTTGTAGGTGCTGCCACTTGACAACTTGACCACGTAAGTCATTACAGGTAATCAGCAGGAGTAAGAGTGAAGCTAATGGTGTAATCACAGGGGACCACGTGCACTGCAGCAGCATGAAACCCAATGATTTAAAAGCTAATTTTAGCCAGGTTAGAATTGACTCTGTGCAGTAAACAGGAATCAGATCTTCCCTTGTATTTAAGTCTCTCTCAGGTAGAGGAGACTGGAACTCCAGGGAAAATATTTTGGCCATTAAGTATACATATTCTCTGTTCTAACAGGCCTACACATTTCTATTTATATATTCAGCTAATTTGAAATTTGGATGGTTCCAAATGAGTTTGTTTAGGTGAATTCTTACCCTAAAGGAAACATGACTTCCATGAAAGTATAATACAAATGGAAGTGTTTGAAAATACTGAGCTTATAATAATACTTCTGCTCCTGTGAGATCAGTTTACAGCAAGATCTAAGGGAGTCACGAGGGGCACGTGGATGGATCAGAACCCCAAAGAAGGGGACCTATTAAGGGTAGGAAAACTGTACAAGCCAAGCACAGCAGGTGTAAGGGCAAGGCCGAGGGCTGGGACAAACTAAGAACCAAGAAGTCTGCACGTCAGTGAATATATAAGAGCTCAGATTCTCACACAGGGAACTAGGAGTAACAACAACATTTTGAAATTATATTTGTTAATATAAGTTGGGGTGTGTGCATATGTGATGAGTCATGGTGGCAGGGAGGTTTTATGAAGATAAAGAGTTTATCTGTTTCATTATACTATTGAAGCCCCAGCACCTAACACAGTATCTGGAGCCTAGAATGGAGCTCAAAGATATTTGTTGCACTGTTGAAGGAATGAATGGATGGATGGATAAACTGATAGAGGGATGGATGGATGAACAGACAGACGGTGCAATGAAATTCCTAACATACTGAATTCCAGTGAAGGTCTATGAGCTACTGGGAGCTGTGGCTTTATATTAGGAAGGTCAGAGGCTGGCATCTCAATGAATTCTTGCAGGAATATACAGATGTCTGTTGCTGCAACCCAGGCTTCTCTGTAAAAAGAGTTTGCATGGAAGAAGAGAAGCAGCTTTACATATATCCAAAGCTTATCATTTGCAAATTTGAATTTTAATAACTAATTTCACTTTGTATAACAGAGACATGTTTTAGGAGATATAAAAGCAGAGTCTCTCCCCGCATATTTATCTTTTAGTACTCATGCTTCTAATGTGCAAGTTGAAGAGGTAGATTAGCAATGAGTGTGGCGTTAAACTCTGATGACACTAATTGGCACGATTCATGCTCGCACTTGAACTTCCCCACTCCCTCTTTTCTCTAAGTTTGCCTTAATTTTCTCATTAGTGACTTTAGTTCTCCATTTCAGTCAGTTTTGTGTGGAGATGCTTATAGCAATTTCACATACATAATAAAGATACCTCTTCCTAACTCAAATCCTTGTTTCACAGTCATAATTGGCAAAGAATGACACTTTTGAAAATCCAGTAAGCATTTCCAACTGACACATTCCACTCCATACCAGCCAAACAGATGATAAATTCGAGTAAATTTCCTCCACAAACAACATAGGCATATACAGCCCATGTGTGTTCAGGTACTTATAATTACTATCTCAAGCTTTATAATATAGCTGAGAATTAAAAAAAAAAAAAAGCTTTACCTCAGACAGTAAATTACTAGAACTCACGGTCAATTATGATGGTGGTGGGTTGGGGAGTGGCAGGGTGGAATAGTAAGCACTTTGTGGCTTAACTTGTAACTTGATAGGTAAATTTCAGACAGCCTGTTGTAAATATTTCTTAATTAAAAGAATATTTTAAGGACATCTTATCTGAGAAGGTGTAATTCCTTTCTCTTAATCTGTTTTCTCTAACAAGGGACCTGTTGTCAGGGTTGTGAGGTGTACTAAGGAGCTTAATTGATATGAAACATTGATGAGACCCCAAGAGGAGTAGAGAGTTGCAGAGGAATTATGAAATAACCACAAGACATAAAGAAGAAAGTTTATAGCTACAGGGTAATGCTTTTAGTACGGCAAAACTATTCACCATTTGGTATAGAATTTTAAAAGCATATACAGATGACTAAAGAAAGGCTTTTTTTTTTTTTTTTTTTTTTTTTTTGAGACACAGCCTCACTCTGTTGTCACCTGGCTGGAATGCAATGGCATGATCTTGGCTGGAATTACAGACATTCGCCACCATGCTCGGTTAATTTTTGCACTTTTAGTAGAGACGGGGTTTCAGCATGTTGGCCAGGCCGGTCTCAAACGCCTTACCCCAGGTGATCTGCCCACTTTGGCTTTCCAAACTGCTGGGATTACAGTTGTGAGCCACCATGCCTAGTCATAAGAAAGGCTCTTTTTGAAAAGATTTCATGCTTTTCAAAAGTGTTTATGTGTCAAATACAAAAGAGATAAAAGCAGGTTAAGGCACTACCTAGAAGCATTAAGGAGAAGAAAAAAATAGAAAGAAAAAGGCGACTTCCAAACATTGCTCAAGAGAAATGATACTAGACATGGCTGCGACCACTATAGGAAAGGGTTTATCGGGCACAAGCACAGTGCCCATCACACTGGGCATGAAGTACATGTTGAACAGTGATACCAGTGCCATGGGAAAGAAGGAACAGATAGCAGGACCGAGGGCACAGGCGACCTGCAAAACACGGCTCTGGGTCTACCTGGGTCTATGGGTCAGCAATGGACTGCAGACTCTTTTTGAATGATGTAAGGCCCCTGGGACACAGTTCTTTCACATGTTCTCACAATGTTGCATTTACAAAAAATAAAAATATATATTCACAGTATTTTATTATTTTATATATTATAAAATATGAACGAAGTGGAAAATTTTAGAGGGTAAAAAATTAACTATAAATAGAATTTCTCATATTTTCTTCCTGTTACGGAGCAGTCACATGTGCACCCCTTAAATGTGTGCAGGGTCATGTTGGGGGCAGCTGGTGCAGAGTCAAATGCTAACAAAATCAGGCTACAGAATCTCCTGCCAATCACTTTGTTCTATCCTGTGGTTTCTCAACAGCTATTATGGCCAGCTGTCATATTCACTGTCTCACCGAGTGGGGACAACCTAAGAGAAGAAGTAGAAGGAGATAATTCTATAACAAATCTGAAACAAACAAACAAAAAGAGCCGTTAAGACTGCTGTGAATTGTTTCATGGTTGAAGGAATGAATGGATGGATGGATAAATGGATGGAAGGACGGACAGATGGTACAATGAACCTCCTAAAATACTGAATGCCAGTCTAGGTTCATGAGCTACTGGGAGCTGTGGCCTTGTCCTGGGAAGGTCAGAGACTGGCATCTCAGTGAGTTCTTGGAGGAACACCACACAATTTTGACTCATCAGTTTTGATCTTGGGTTGGGCGGTTTTTTAAAATGTAGTTGTAACTTTTTCAGCTTGGTAAAAGATGGCAAAAGGTAAAAAAAAAAAAAAAAAAAAAAAAAAGAGAAAAGCATTTGCAATACATAGGTCAAGGGAAATTGGGAAATTTACTATACTATTCCTTCTGTTCATTAAAATATTTAATATTTAATATTTATTCATTTAAGTGTGTATTATTTTCTAGCCATTGTACTCAGATGGAGGAGAGAGAGAAAGACAGTCAGAGAGACACACTAATAGAAGCATAGAGCTAACTGCATGGAATAATCTTTAAAAGTTTGTGTGAATGGTAAAAACACAGCAATCGAACAGAAAGCAAAGAAGTGCAAAGAAAATGCCAAGGGAGTTCACAGTTAGCGGCAGTTTTCTTAGGTTATATACTACTTCTGTTTCCCCAAATCTTAATTTTGAGTAGTTCAAAACTTTTAAGCATATAATCTTAATCTATCTTTTCATGCATATAGATTTTCTTTCTTCTTTAGAATAAACCTGGATAAACACAAATGAGAAAACTGCAGTTATAAAATGTAATTATCTTTGTTTCCTAGAGCCTAGCCTATCCACATACATTAAAGGATTATAAAAATGCTGATTTTCCACTTGTATACTCTTAAGACAGTTTTCAGTTAGTGACACTGGTGAATGAGTACTTCTGCCTTTGAACAGAAGGAAAAAACTTACTTGTAATGCCTACAATTCTCCTTGTATGGAAAATGTTTAATTGTTCTTGTAACTAAAGGGAAGTCAGAAATTCCCCCCATACAAGGTGGTGATTTACAAGGAAAAGAGAAGTTTAATCATGTGGCAAAGCTTAAGCCACTATGATTTAAGGTGCAAAGCCATCATTGGAAATGTGTTGAAGCAAAGTGAACAGACAATAATCTTAAGTTGCAGAGGCTGGATTTTCTTTTCTACTCAACCCAGTAAACCAAAGATGAATGAGGCAGTATTATGGGAAAAGCCCTGTCCTAGGGCTCACGTGTTGCTGGATACAAATGCAACTCTTATACAGACCTTTTACAAAAGCATTACCTTATGTATACTCTTAAGGTAGGGTTCCAAAATCTTAGTACTGCTAATGTTTTGGACAAAAATATTCACTGTTGTCAGTGGGTGATTCTCTGCATTGCAGGATGTTTAGCAACATCTCTGGCCTCTATCCACTAGAGACCAATGGCACACAACTCCTCTCTTCCCCTGTTGTGAAAACCAAAAACGTGTCCAGACATTGTCAACATCTCCCTGCGGAGCGAAATTGCCTACAGCAGAGAACCTAGGTTCTGAGAAGAGGTGGACTTTGATTTTTATTAGATTGATTATAGTATCACCTGCAGCAGCTGCTCTGGAATATAAAATATTTAAAATGTATACTTTGCATATTCTCAGTGTGATTGTCACACTTAGTAATTCTTCCAGTTCTGGTGGAAAGTGAAACTGGGTAACGAGCTTGGAACTTGTTCATTGCTCTTAAAAACTAAATAGATTTTTATTACTTATAGAAAAGTTAAGTGTTACTATGCATTATGATAAATCAAAGACACATTTAGAAACTAAACTTTTAAAAGTCTGAAAAGCAATTTACTAAGAGAAGTTGAACTTAATTGTTTATTATATGTAAAGTTAGCATTATCCCCTCTTCCCTAAATAGTTAAAAGGAGTTTAGCAGGAAACCCTAAAAATGACCAGCATTTCGGTAGAATATTCTGTTATAGAAGAGTACTGCATACATAATCTTAATGCATTGCTATTACATCACCATGAGGTGGGCGCCTTTACAAGCTCCTTGAAGGCACTTTGCTGACCCTTGGGGAGACCACGGAGCAAATGGCTCATAGTTCAAACTGTTTGGTTTCATACCTGGCCCCATCACTTTCTAGCGGAGTGACCTGGGGTGATCTGACTTACCTCTTTGCTTCAATGTCACCGGCTCTAAAGTAGGACTATGTAAAGCATTCAGAACGGTGTTGGTGCATAATCAGTTTTCAGTAAGTGTTAGTCATTTTTATAGACCAGGAACTCAAATAATGCTAATTAAATACATGCAAATTTTTGTCCAAGTTAGAGAACTAGAAAAGTCAACCTGTTACTTGACAATGGAAAGTATATGACAATCGGATCATTTAATCAACAAAGAAAATGTGCCAGGATTGTTTCTAGCATCTTACAGACACTCATCCTCATCATGTTCTGGAGCTAGAATTCCCCCTGCCCAGCTCTGCCCAACCCCCATGTACAAACAAAACGTGAAGTTCAGAGGGATTACTTAGTTTGCTCAAAGTGATGCAGCCATTAAGTGTTCGAGTCAGAGTATGAACTCAGGTCTGCCTTATCACAAAGTCGATTCTCATTTCACAATTCTATGGCTCTTGACTACAATCACAACCATCCTAATGGAGTAGCTAACAACATAGCAGGTATCATGTTCATTCACATGACCACACACAAACTAGTCCGATTAACACTCTCAGCAGCCCTGGGTACTCCTACTACATTTCACATATGAAAACCGAGGCTTGAGGAGGTGAAATAAATAATAAAAGATCATGTAGTGGAGAAGTCCTAGAAGCCAAATCCAAACGACAAAATCCGGCCTCTTGGCCACATGTGATGCTGCCTCCCGTCTTACCAAAGAAGGATACTGAAAAAACTCAGGGCCCAAGAGGGAAACCAGAGACAGGATTAAATGGTTTCACAGTCAGAAGAAGTTTGGATCTATCTGTAAAGGAAGTTGTCAGACGAATAAAAGCAAGGAGCTAGGGAAAAGCATGTTGTATCTGGGGACTTCTACAAGATTTCTCATCTATAAAATAAAGACTTGGACCAGGTAATCTCCAAACTTCTTTTAATTCTACAATGCTATATTGTCGCAGTTGGTATTATACTCTCCCACCCCCAGTGCCTAATACACCTGTGCATAAGCTACTCCCCAGTGGCTTCCCTGTGGAATTAGTATAATATCCTTTCTTGGTATCATTGTCTGCAAGGCTCTGCAGGCTGTAGCCCCTGACTGTCTCTGACTTCACTACTTGTCTGTTCTTCCTCAATCACCATGCTCCAGTCACAAGCTTTTTTGTTCTAGAATCTTCCTTTCACAGGGCTTTTATACTTGCTGTTTCCTCTGCCCAAAATGCCCTTCCCCAGATCTTTTCTTAGTGGTTCCTCAAATGAACTTCCTACAATAGGTTTTCTATAACCACTGCATCTAAAGTAGGACTTCCTCACTCATTATTCTTTACCTCATTCCTGTTTTACTTTCTTCATATTAATTATCAGTATTGGAAATTCGTTTTTGTTGTGCTTTTATTTTTTGGCCATTTATCGTATAGTACTCCCAACCATCCCCATGTAAACTCTGTGAGGGCCGGGATCATGTTGATCTGGCTCATGGCTGTACCCCTTGTGCTGATGCCTGACACATAGCAGCACTCAGAATGATTTGTTCAGTGAATGAAGACATGAGTCATCCTGTGTAGCCCACCTGGCACAGAGAAAACATTAAACACAAAATAGGAGCTGAGAAACCTGTCATGGTAGTAAGGATAACTAACATTAATCAAGTTCTAATTATTGGCACTAGGTAAAATCCTTCACACACATTATGTCATTTTAGTCCTCACCACAACTCTATGGTATTATTATTATCCTAGTTTTATAGATGAGGACACGGAATCTTAGCACAATCAAGCAATTTGCCCGAAGTCACAAAGCTAGTAAATTAACTCAGATTCAAAGCCAGTCTAATTTCAGCACAATGCTATTTGCCAATTGTAATCTGTAACACAATTATTTACCAACTTCTGCAAAATGAAACTGCCATTACCTCCATTTGGATTTTTCAAAGTTTATAATTTCAAAGAGTACTATGTGAGTAGCTACTATATGTATCCTGGGACTCAGGCTAGGTAAAGGGTGCTAGGTGCCTAAGATACAGAGATAAATAATGTGATACAGGGCCCAACTTCAGAAGGCACAGTTTAAGAAGAAAAACATAAGTGTGGTAGAATCGACATCTCCATGACCCAAACCCTCCTACACACACACACACACACACACACACACGCACACACACCCCTCATGCTGCTGGAGACTTATTCCTCCTAAATGTTTCCCTTGTACCTGGTGTTTAATTTTGCATTCCTTACATTATAGTCTAACTGCTTAGCACTGTCTAGGAGGAACCGAATAGCCATGATTTACTGAGTGCCTACACATGGCAGGTGATTTATCTATACTCACTGACCGAATTCTTACAACAATGAGGTGGGTGTCATTATTTCTGCTTTACCAATGAGCAGTCAACAGCTTATTGGGTCATTGGATTACAATGCAATGATTACAATAGAGTGTCTGATTACAATGCAGAATTGCCAATATTAGATAGAAGGGTGTGTGTGCAAAGACCTATGGGAGCCCCAAGAAGCAAGTGGCTCTGGCACCCATAGATATTTATTTATTTTTATTTTGTTTGAGACAGGGTCTTACTCTGTTTCCTAGTCTGGAGTGTGGTGGCATAGCTCACTGCAGTTTCAACCTCCTGGGCTCCAATCTGCCCACCTCAGCCTCCTAAGCAGCTGGGACTACAGGTGCACATCACCATGCCTGGCAAATTTTTTGTTTTTTGTAGAGACAGAGTTCTGCCATGTTATTCAGGCTAGTCTTGAACTCCTGAGCTCAAGAGATCTGCCTGTCTTGGCCTCCCAAAGTGCTGGATTACAGGTGTGAGCCAGCCCCAGATATTTACTTTAACACTATAATTGTAACAAATATGAAGATATCTGGCTTTTTTATTAGCTTTTTAATTAAATATTTAATAAATCATATATATCTCACTTTGTAAAATATTTTAACAATATCTTTACTTTTTTGAGAAAAAGCAAATATTTTTTCTTTTTACATTTTTGCTAGGATTAATAATATGTTAGAAGCTTTTTTATTACAATAATTGGAACACAGACTTTAAGATATTTTTTATATTACATTTTCCTGATGTACTGGCTGAATTTTTTTCCCCCTGGGGCAAAGAAAAGTACTTTTCTTCAGCTACTGTCAGTTCCTTTACTTAGGATTTTTCTGAAATGAACCAATCCTTCTCTCTAATAGACACATAGGTACATAATAAGATAAGCACTTTACTTATTTTAACAAATCCAGTATTAGAATCGTTTTTTGCAGCCCGTGAATCATGACGGCCTGCTAAGATTGCCTTCAGTAAAATAAAGTTAGATTGGGACTGACTGATGTGAACACACAAAGTTAACTCCATTATAAAAACTGACCAGGAAAAAAATAATAATAATGCTAAGTTAACCAAAACCTGCTACTGTAATACCAAAACGCTACTAAAAAATTTAGATTGCTTCTGAGTATCCAAAGGTGAGCTCTCCACCCTGTGGTGAGCACGTGACACTCTCCCCAACAGCAGCTCTGTGGGGAGGGCCTGATCCCACTGAGAATTAATTCACTTTCCAGAAGTGAGAGATAAGGGAAAATTCCCATAACAAGAATCCATTTGGTGAACTGCAGTTTGGCGGTATTTGAAGTTTTACACATATTTAAGAATCAAATTTGATCTTACTACACACTTCTTAGGAAAGCCACAATTCAGTTTCATGGAAAATGAAAGACAAGGATTCCAGCTGATCAAATAGCCTAGCTCCCTTCACGGAATCCTGCGAACCCACTCTACATTGATCAACTTCCCACTCAATTCTTGGCACCTATCAATGTCATATCCCAGGGCCAAGTGAAGAGTTTCACAGCAATCAAGTTAATATTTGAAAATTATAAAAAGAATCAAAATTATCTCACTGGGCTCCAACAGATACAATGCATCTACAGAGGCACAAATAAAAGGTTCTTCTTTGCTACAAACTCCATTTTGTAATGGTCCTAAATATTTAAAAAGTTTATTGCTGCTTTCTTGCCTAAGAATTCCCTGCAACATCAACCCAAAACCCACATAAGCAGCAGTACACAATTTTCTAAAGTCTTAGAACAAGAGCAAGTAAGTCTAAACATGAATTATTTTGGTTGCATGAAATTGACTGATAAATAGTAAAGAGTAATTTTGAGATCAATATTGCAAAACTGTGTGCTAATAACTTATCCTTTTATTTATCTATGTATTTTCAAATATAAGTAATGTGATGTCAAGGCTGACACAATCACATTAAACTATGTCCTGCTTCCCTGGCTGTAATTCTAATACTGTCGCCCTCAAAGATTGCAGAGACCACAGAACCAAACTCTTTCCCACAAACCCCCAGATTTTTGTGTGGCAAAGTCCCTTGCAGGAAATGAATTCTGTCTATACTTCAAAACAGAGTCACTAACCCATTAGGCCCTTTAAGCACAGTGCCTCAGGTCCACAATCCTTTTAGATGCCTAAGAAAAGATTTCCTTTTAAAATAAGAACAACAAAAAAAATTAGGTTTGGGTCAAAGAAAATGTTTAAATTTATAATATTAAGATATTTATCTTTATGTCAGTGCAGTTATAAATGTGTTTGTGTGTTTATGAAAAAGGGACTCACCAAGGTGAAATGCCACAGGAGCCACAAAAGCCATAATGCTGGCTGGCCTCAAAATGTCCTTCCTATTAAACTATTTTGAATGATTCCTAGGTATGCCAGATGCCAAGTTTTCTTGGCCAGCTGGGGAACTTCTTTCTCATGTCTTTGGAAGAAATTATCTTTTACTAGATGCTTCTGAGAAAAGCGATTTGCTAGAAGTTTTGGTTACTTCAAATCAATATGTACTCAACTAGGACGTCTCCTCACCCACGTTAATTTTTTAAAGAGAAGGAAAGTAGAAGATGAGCACTTCATGTGAGGCTCTGCCAGCCCACGAGGAAACGCAATCCTCCAGGCTCGCCCGAGCGTGCGCTGCGGGCAGAGGACCGCGACGCCTCCGTCTTGCTGTATTCCGCGGCCGTGCAGCAGAGGGCGCGTGGCTCCCGGCGCTCAGTGCCGCGCGCTCCCCGCGCCTGCAGGATCGTATCCCTATTTGCCCCAAGGTCATAGCTCCTAACCAGCTTGCCAGCCCCAGGCCGGAGACACCGGAGAGGCAGCCCTTCGGGCTGGAGACCCCGGCGCGGGTGGGACGGGAGGGCTCCGGGGCCAGGAGACAGATCACAATGGGGACAGGGGACGAAAGGCGCCAGGGGCCCGGGACCCGAGCTGTCCCCGCAGCCGCCAGACTCCGCGCCCGGGAGGGGGATGGGGTGCGCGTAGACGCTCCGCGGCCCCAGTCGGACTGAGGAGCCCAGGAGTCACCGCAGCCGCCGCGCGCCGAGAGCGCCGAGCCTCGCTGCCAGCTCAGGACACCGGGGCCGGGCCGCTGGAAAGGAGCCCCGGAGCCCCGCTGAGCGCCGGCCGGGAGGGCGTTTTCCCCGCCCCCGGAGCCTGGCCCGCCCGGCCCGCCCCGAGCGCGGGGAGATCACCTCCGCCCGCCACCTCCTCCCCTGTCGCCCAGGTCCACCCGGGACCCCTCCCCCGGGCCGCCCCCGAGCACGAAGTTGGCGGGAGCCTATAAAAGCCGGTGCCGGCGCGACCCGCGGACACAGTGCAGGCGCCCGAGCCGCCGCCGCCGCCGCCGCTAGACCGGTGCCGATTCCTGCCCTGCCCCGACCGCCGGCGCGACCATGTCCCATCACTGGGGGTACGGCAAGCACAACGGTGAGTGCGGGCGGCGGGCGGCGGGCGGCGCGGCGGAGCCGGGAGTGCCGAGCCCCGAGCCCAGTGGCCGGCCCGGGGCCCGCAGCGCCCGCACCTGCCGTTTACCGCGGCCGCGGGGAGCGCTGGAGACTCAGGTGCGCCCCGGACGCTCGCTCAGCCCGCGGCTCCCCCGCGCCGGGGATTCCCACCATCTCCCCAGCTGCGAGGCCACTGTCGAGGAATCCCCGCGTCCGCCCGAGGCGCGCAGGGCCCGAGGGAGGGGAGACGCAGCCTGGCCGCGGGATCCGAGGACAGTCCCACCCGGTTCCCGAGCCGGGAATCATTTTAACCCGACCTAGGAGGAGGCGGGGAAGGGTTGTAACGGAAAATTCTAGTTGGTGATCGCAGAGAAATTAAGAGACCCCCTTCCCCCGCCCCCCGACACAGTCCTCCAGCTTCGACACCACCTGTGGCTAAGGCGCTCATCACCAACTGTCCCGGGGCATTTCCCGGTGCTGGTTTGAATCCATGACGCTGATTTCCGAGTTTTCCCGTCGGACACCAAGAATCGGGTTTTATCTTGGCCTCAGATCTGGTTCTCTGGAACCAGCGGAGCAGAGAGGCACGCGTCTGGCGCAGCTTGCTCAGCTTTGGAGGGGTGTGGGGCTTCCCAGGTAGTGGCGACCCTGTGGGTTAAAGGAGGGGTGGGCCCGGGCCTGGGCAGTGAGGAAGGGATTCGGACCTGCTTGAATGTCTTAAGTGAGCTTGCATATCCCAAATCCCAACCACAAGCCCTGACGTTAGTGTCTGCCCAAGTTCAGTTGCTGAATTTCAGTAAAACTATCATTAAAATAGCTAATATTTATATGGCACTCAGTGATCTAAGAGCTTTACCTATATCTATTCTAATTCTCACAGCGACATCTATGAAGTAGATTTCTAATTATCCCATGTTACAAATGTAGAAACTGAAGCACAGATTACGTGTTTTTCCAAAGTTTATCCCACTGTGGAACTGAGCAGATTGGCTCCAGAATGATTGCTCTTCTCTAGGGGTTTGGGTGTAACCTTCCCCACAGTGGTGGATTCACATGTCTTGTCTTCTTTTCCCCAGGACCTGAGCACTGGCATAAGGATTTCCCCATTGCCAAAGGAGAGCGCCAGTCCCCTGTTGACATCGACACTCATACAGCCAAGTATGACCCTTCCCTGAAGCCTCTGTCTGTTTCCTATGATCAAGCAACTTCCCGGAGGATCCTCAACAATGGTCATTCTTTCAACGTCGAGTTTGATGACTCTCAGGACAAAGCAGGTCAGTGTTTAGAAAACAACTTGTGTCTTTTAGCCAGTAGCTGTTTTCCAAGCTTAATGAAGGAGCCAGAAACAGTGGCAGGAACCCTCTTAATCAAAAACAGTTTGTCTCAGGACTCAAGGATGCCATGCTGATCATCTTCATTAGAATCCGAGGATTCTGAGAAGTAGGCTAATTAGTTTGAAGTGTCCTGGGGCCGTTTCTCCCCTGTAAAATTACTGGCTTCTATGTAGGGCATTGAATAACTTCGATATACCTGTGAAAAGTCACAAAAGGCAAAGTCCCCTAGCAATAAAGATCAGTAATGATGAGATTTGCGCTAATTGAACTTTTAAGAATGTAAAATATTTGTCTTCCAGAGCTCATGTGTATCCATTAAAAAGTGTATCTTAGTGAGCTTTATCTTTAAGGTAGCATTGAGAAGAGTAATGAAAATGTGCCAATTTAAAATACTGAAATTCTTGGAAAATGTTATACTTCTGAGTATTTCTTAGTATTGGGCTAGTGTGATAAAGATGGCAGCATATTTTGATATCTACTCAGAAACTCATTCCACAAATGAAGATGTTTTAGAGAAGGTGGATATACCTGGCCCGTTAGTGACAAAACTAATTGCCATCTTTATTTGTAATACAGCTGTTTACAGGATGCTCACTGAAAGAGAGAGAGAGAGAGAGAGAGAGAGAGAGAGAGAGAGAGAGAAGAAAGAAAAAATACTGCTTTTTTTTTTTTTTAAATTCTCCGTCTTTTGAAACAAGAGAACAATCCCATTCAGACATAGTAGCTGCCTTCTTCTCTCAGCCGTTAATTTAATTGCCAGTGCCCTATTTTCCTGAGTGCTTTCCTCTGAAGGTCATTGAATGAAATGGTGCTGCAAACATTCTCTTTGGTGATGGTGTGGGAGTGAGAAGAGTGGTGGAACAAAATGAGAAAGTTTTGGAGTAGTGACCTATGCTACTAATATATTATATAATCATTTTCATCAGGTTGACTCTTCTTTGACAGCAGCTATCCAATATAGTCAGCTCAGTTTTGAAAACAAAATTCTTCCCTCCTTTCAACTTTAAAAATATTTATAAACACCTGGCTTTCCGAAATGGTGATTCTGGAAGACAATTCGATGGAGGGATAATGTGGAGGTCATATGAGAAATGTTTTCAACCTACATGTGACTGCCTATGTGCACCCCTCCCCGGTACACACATACACACACATACGCACACACACACACACACACACACACACTCACTCTGGCATTGTATCATGATTTATTAGAATCAAGTAAACATACACTGAAGACAGTTCAGTGATTCTGCTAAATTGCTTTCCCAAGCATTCTTCTCACTTCAGAGAAACAGTGCTCATTTAATTAAACAATTTTTTTTTTTTTAATACTGTATATCGTCTGGGTGCGGTGGCTGTAATCCCAGCACATTGGGAGGGCAAGGTGGGCGGATCACCTGAGGTCAGGAGTTCGAGACCAGCCTGACCAACATGGAGAAACCATGTCTCTATTAAAAACACAAAATTAGCCGGGCGTGGTGGTGCATGCCTGTAATCCTAGCTCCTTGGGAGGCTGAGGCAGGAGAATCACTTGAACCCGTGAGGCAGAGGTTGCGGTGAGCCAAGATCATGCCATTGTGCTCCAGCCTGGACAACAGGAGTGGAACTCCACCTCAAAACAAAAACAAAAACAAAAACATATATTTATAACATGACAAGGCCAAAGGTCTCAAGGTATTACACATACAAAAAGTATACTATAAAATTTCATGTTTAGTTATTTAAAAACAAAAGAAAGTGCGCTACTTTAGTCTGTAGCTGTACCTTTTTTAAGAGTCACAGTGATGTCATTGTTTTCAATGATATAATGTCTACCGAAGTGTGTATCTCATTGGATACTACATAGAAATTGGATGCTTTAGTCTTTTTTGGGACAATGAATAAGCAAATCTCCAACAAATGAAAGCAGATGGGGTTCTTTATAGTCCTTAAAAAATGGATAGTGAAATAAATTATTCCAGTAATATGTATTACTGTAAAGTGGATTTCAGTATATGGTCTCATGATTATCAGCATAGTTTGGAGTCAGGGAGAGCTGGATTTAAGTTCTGGCTTTGCCGACAACTAGCTCAGAGACTTTGGGAGTAATGCTATCTAGGTTTCAGTTCTTTTAAACTGTGAAGTTGGAGTAGCAATAGTATCTGCCACAATGGAAGGATGAAATGGGACAGTATATGTAAAGCACCTTGCCTAGTGCCTGGCACATAAAAGTTCCTCAATAAATGACTTCTGTTGTTGTCACAACTGTCACAACTGTGAACCCTTCGATTGTCTCTGTTAGACAATTGCTGTAGATGTTTTACCTGAGATAAGATTTCTGAATAAATTTTTCCTTTAATAGCTTTAAGATTAGTTCCCATCATTTGATGGTATTTAAAAATTTTATTTTTCTATTTTCTGAAACATGCTGTATATCATACTGAATATGTACTTATTTTATGTATGAAGTTATTATATAGTTATATATTTTACCATGAATCTGTTAAACTTTGATGGATTTCTCTATAAGCAGTAACTAATTAGATCTAGCTACATTTTCCCCAGCCATTTCTTCTGGAGAGTAATGCATACATTTTTGAAGAAGTTAGCCATGTTTAGATTGTCAGATGAAAACCACAGGGTTT